TGGTTTAAACAAGGTTTATAATTGAATAAAATTCGAAGAGTAAAAAAATAGATCACACGTGCAGTAGGGTGTGAGAGTGGATTTATCAACACCTATCTACCCTCTACGATGTGAATATATTTTATGAAAATATTCTATATATAATTTGTACTTGTATGAGTGTCACCAGTTGTGTTAACACAATATTGAAAAGACATTATTTTGATTTACTTCTATGAAAAAATGCTTTAAACATCTGTTACACATGTAGTAGTCTGATAGAAGGTCTTCCGAACTGAATAAGCCATAGTGATCAACGAAATATTTTTTTAACCCTATGATTAATGACAATAGAAAATTATTTGAAAAAAATATATAGTTTGTTCTGTGTTGCAATTATTCGACTGGGTAAATTCCCAGTTGTATTAACAAATAAATATGTCAGCGTTGTCAACAATACGTCCTTTTCTTTTTCTTCCTATCGCTTTGATAAAAACATTGTCGAATCATCAAAGGTGAGTCATTATTATTTTTCAAGAGAAATTAAATTTACATCTCTTCAATAAAAGCATTCTTTTATCAAGATGAAATTAAATCGAGGTCCAACAAAACGTTTAATACTTATTGCATTAGATTATATGAAAACAAAAGATCCTCCTATATCATTAGGACAATCATCAATATTAGCTAATTTATATGAAAATAATATTGATGTTATATCGAAATCATATGCAGTTAATTTTTCATCATTTTATCCTGATAATGTTACAAATTATATAATGAAAAATGCAAATGAATCAACTGATGTAGCATTAGGTGCATATATTTGGAATGAAAAATTTTTACAAATTATTTTATCTAATTTAAAAAAAGAAAAATATCCTGGTCGAATTATTCTTGGTGGTCCACAAATAAGTTATACAAAAAGAAATTTAGAAAAGTATTATCCACAAGTTGATGTTTTTATTCGAGGATATGGTGAAACTGCTCTTCTTCAATATATGAAACAACAAATACAAAATCGTTCTCCACAAATTCCAGGAATTCATTATGCTGGACAAATTGACAAAAATCAATCAGCAAAAACAAATTTCAATGAACTTCCATCACCATTTTTAAATAATTTAATTCCAAATCAAAATTTTGTTCGTTGGGAAACTCAACGCGGTTGTCCTTTTTCATGTAGTTTTTGTCAACACCGTGAATCATCAAATTTCACACGAAGACATTTTCAATCAACAAGAATTTCTCAAGAAATTCAATGGTTATGTCAAAAAGATTCGAAAGTTTTCGATTTAAATTTAGTTGATCCAACATTTAATTCAGGTCCAAATTATTTAAATGTTCTTCAACAACTAATTCAATATAAATATCGAGGAAAAATTGCTTTACAAACACGTATAGAAATGATTAAACCTGAATTTCTTGATCTTATTGTTCAATTAAATAAAACAGCAATGGTTGTTTTAGAATTTGGTTTACAAACAATTCATCCCAGTGAACAGAAATTTATCGATCGACCTTCAAATATGAAAAAAATTCAAAGAATTCTAAATGAAATCTATGAAAGATCTATTGCATGTGAAGTTTCACTTATTTTTGGTTTACCTGGACAAACAATCGATTCATTTGAAAAATCAATTGAATTTTGTTTGAAACATCATGTTGAAATTATTCATGCTTTTCCATTGATGTTATTACGTGGAACACCTTTATATGAACAAAAAGATCAATTAAAATTAATTGAATCAGATGAAGGAGTTTGTGATGAAATTGATCGAATTCAACAATATGGAATTAAACATGTTGTTTCAAGTCCTACTTTTTCTTATGATGATTGGAGAAAAATGGCAGAATTAGCAGGATATTTAGAAATTAAAAATAATTCTTACTTAAAAAAAAGAGATCAAAATTATGTTCAACATCAACAAAATATTAACAAACCAAATCATTTTACAAAATAAATTAACTTTATTTATCCAATAAACTTTTCTTTCTTTTCGTTTATTCAATAAACAACACTTCGATGTGTCATATCATTTATTTACAAATGAATATTTATTCTCTATCTAATAGTAAAACATAAATAGACGTATCGCCAGATTGTTTATTGAAATAACATCATAAAGACTTGTCTATAAATGAAATTACAAGTAAAACAGCCGAGTTTTTTGTCGATAGTCTATATGCATTCTTTTGATAAAGGCATATTGTACTACTGTCTGAAGAAACAATATGGGTCAAAAAAAGAACAATTTTTTATTATACGAATTCTTCGAAGTAACAAAACTAAGTAAACAGACAGTCTTCTTTTTAAAATTCACGAGTAATACGAAAATATGCTGATAAACTCAGAGGGTCTTTTATTATTATTAATAAGCAAAGAATACTAGATAGTGAAAGTATACTTTTACTTCAATACTCATTCATATAATCGCTTGCATCTTCGCATCATCAACCTTGCGAAAACATTTGCGCTCTTGCATAGTTTTTTTATAGAGATGTGTAGTCAATAACATATTGTAACGATATTTTTCAAACATTACCGACAGAGAGTCAATATATTTTCGTATCTATTTTTACAGCATTATTTTGTAAGTGAACAAAAGGAAGGCATAATCTGCTATGAAAAAGTGAGCATTTCTCATATCATTTGAGTTTATTATTATTGAACACTCATATTTTTTCAATTATAAAAAAATATCGTATTTCTTCGTTTTTCTCTCGAGCAACTTCATACCATATTTAAAAAAAATAATGTCTAAACGATATGAAGTGATAGCACTTGGTTAAGTTAGGATATTAAGAAAGAAAAATAACTAATACAGATCAAGTTTCAATCCATCTTCAATAGCACTTTTATCTTCATCGTCTTCACCACCAAGATCTTCTATCTTTTCTTTAAGTTCATTGCGACGTTTTTGAATTACATTGCGGAACGCCTGTTCGCGTTCAGGTGGGTATGAGTGAGGTTGGGTGTGAGTGTAAGATAAGTAATATATTCACGACCATACCCACACCCACACCCTCAAATAAAGACAAACGACGAGAATTGGAAACAAAAGTGACGAAATTCTATACAATTACTAGACCTTTAATTGAAAATCAACAGTTATTTAAAGAGGTAAAATAATAAGTAAATAAATATATTGTAGTTTTTTTTCATTCCGTGTGAATAGCATCCAATAATTAATATGGATAAACTACGGAAATTAATTGGTGAAGTTGATACAGAAAAACGAGTTTCAAAGTAAGTTATTCTAGTCATACATTAATACAATTAAATTGTAGCTTAGTAAATCACTCGTAACATGAATTATTATAACGATTCTAATTACTATAAAACACATACGATGAAGGTTGTTTCTCTTATACAGTAATGTATTGTTAGCAAAAATAGGAAATATGTTTTGTTTTGTTTTGTTTTTCTTGACATTTTGTGTTTAGTTAAAGAAATTACATTCTTCATGCTATAAAATTTTAACTTTTTTTGAAAACTTTTAGTTCACTTAGTCCAATTCGTGATTGTTTGGGTCTTTTGGAAGCTCAAATGAGAGATTTACATCATGGTATTATTGAAAACCATGCTCGACGTTCAAAACGATGGAAATATAAATTAGGATTTGAATGTCTTGCATATGAAAGTCGATGGTAAAGATTATTTATTGATTTATTTAAATATATTTTTCAAAAAACATATTTAGGGAAGTTACACATGATATTCGTGATTTACAAGAAGCATGTTTAGATCCAAATCGTTTTCTTGAATCATCAATTGTTGAATCTATGGCAGGATGTTCATGTCCAATAATAATTGATTTTATTGAGAGCGATGTACGATTGTGTGTAGATGATATGATAGATGAAGTGACGTCAACAATTGCAGTGAACTAAACATTTTCTTCTTGTATACCTGTATTCAATTTGTTTTTCCGTGTGTTTTTTTGTCTCGTTTTACTTCTTTAAAATCTGGTATTGGTCTAAAGAGGTTATCTCTTTATTTATTTATTTTGTTGGTTAATAAACAAAACATTTAATATGATACTTATATCATTTTAAATCAATTCGTTTAGTCTCTTGTTCTATGAATTACTCGTAAAGTGTATACAACTTATTAAAATTGAATTTGATACAACATATTATCTGAGTATTTCGTATCTCAAATCAAACCATATGCAATTCAATTGCATCTAGAACTATTATAATAATAGAATATAGAAGACTTATTATTGATATATAAACATACTTTGATTTTGTGAAACACAATCTAAAAGGAGTGTTAAGTGGCAGAAATTTGCATCCACTCTTTTCTTTGTCGCACATCGCTGCATAGACATGACCATTGAACTCATAATGTTTAGGAAAGATAGATACGTAAGAGATTTTTTCATATTAAGTGATTTTCTCTCGAATTTTGTAACAACTATCAAAATGCTGATCAAATGATTTCATAATAAGTAAATTATTTCTGTCTAGTATTTCTGTACGTTTACACTACACGACAAGATAAAAATCATCTTGAGGGTGGGTGTAGGTGTTAAGAACTCTTCTTCACTCACACCCACACCCTAGTCCTCATCGAGATCGTGTCTGTTTTGTTTTAAGAATGGAAGATCGTACGATTGACAAAGTTGTTCATTAGGTTAAATAACGCTATTGTGTTTCACATTTTATTTTTGAAAGGATTATGCCGAAAGCTTTTTTGATTAAAAAAAAGTTTTAGAATGGATGCTACTAGAAAAATTAAAAAAAAAGGTGAAAAAAAACTTTTCCAAATCGTGATATTTTTTCCATGGATTCACCCAAATATTAATAATTATTTTGTCTCTTTTATCCGATTGGCCCATTTATCATGTAATTTTTACTCCTTCTGTGGATCACACACACATAAATGACCAAGAAGAGCAGAACCATCAAAAGCACCAAAAGATACAATTCGAACAAATCGAGAAGCACCATAATAGGTAGAACGAGTACATTTCGCGCCATCCTTAAGCTTGAATTTGTCGTAATATAAACCATTGCGCCAACGCTCGCCATTCATATGATCCCAACTACGAAAATCTCGTATCCACTTCCAATCGTCCGGATGACAAGAATAGTACCAATCACAGCATCTGCCGCAAGCAACACATTGGCGACCATAACAAGGTAGTGGTGGATGACATACATATTTTTGATCCCCTAGAAAAAGATCGACAACATTCAAATTAGACTAAGGTAGTACAATAACTTCTTTGTTAAACATGATGAATAATAATAGTTCAGGCGGAAGGCAAGAAAACTTGTTGTTTGTTATACAATACACTGCGTATAGGTGAATGCTGAAAGTCTACAGTCGACTTATAATTTGGGATATCTTAGACCTTTACAATGAAAAAAAGAGAGGACTTTGCTACATGTTGGAATGAAGTCACGTGACACTAAACATAAAATATCGCAGATCTGCAGGTGTACTACTCGTATCACTTCATTCAAAATATGACGAATATAGTCTGAGTTGTCATACATGATTTCAATGACTTTGCCATCTTTTGTGCTTAAACTGACTTTTCTACTCTTTCCACATGAAAAGTGTAACAGTAATAGTAGATTTATTTTTTATCCATCTGTATGCCCGTAACCCTGGATGGATGTCAGTGTCTCTTCTTTATTTACACCCACATGCAAGTTAGCGACGTAGTCCAGTCGAGTCCGACATTTGTTCAAAGATTTTTGTATCGTCTATTACAAAATGTGTGTCTGAAAATTATTATTGGAGGATTTATTTTTCGTCAATCAAAATTAATGCACTAGGTGTCTAACACGAATGAAGTATTGCCCATAAATACCACTGTTAGCAACTGTTGACGTCAGCAAACATAGAATTAACGTTAGTTTTTCTATAATTTATATGTCACTTTCGTCGGTACGACTAATTGATACGAATCGATCATCAAATGGCATATTTTGGGGTACATAAGAGAGAGTACAATACTTCCGTTCGAGTTGAAAGTTTAGAATAGAGGGCGCGCGTGGATGCGGGTTATTTAAGAGTAGAGAAACCCACCCCACACCCTCAAAATATATCTCTATTCTCTATTTTATCTTATTTTTAAATATAAAGATTTTATTTATTTTTATTTCATAACATAAAGATAAAGTAACGTGCCCTACTATTAGCATCTAACAGGTTATTATTAACGGTCCAAAATCTATCTTTGAATGGATTTTTTTATTATCGTTCGTTATTGATGAAAATCGAAGGGTTTAAAAACACATCTGATACAGATTTTAACTGAATAGAATTAGAATCGAACACATTTAGGTTATGTGTTCAAAAATGCAAACTAAAACCAAATTCAATCCAAATTAAATCTAGTTCTGGCTTTCACCTTTCTGATTCAAATCAAATTCTATTACAATTACAACCATTTCTAGTTTCTAGGTGTACTGCTCAACTCAGCCTTATACTTAGCATTGATTTAGATTATTACTAGTATCTTCTAAGATTTATTTTGTTTGAAATTATAATGCGATACCCTTTAAAATAGCATTTATACTTACTTATGTCGTCCGTTAATAATTTGAATAAGATCCGTCTTCTGCCATCTTTCATACAATTGATAAATTCGGATAAGACTTGTCTTCTGTCTTCTTTATATTCATTGTTTAAATCGTCATAATCTCTTATTAATTTTTTAACTGCATCAATAGTCATTCGATCAGCTACAACAGCAGCCTTTGTGTATCGATTTGCATCGAGATGTAAGAAGCATTCATTTACATTATCACGATTTGTATTAGCTTGAAGACTATCGTTAACATTATCTATTTTTTGTGATAAAGTCTCTGTGATGTTCGTGGCTAAGCCGTTCAAATGATTGAATTTTTCCAATAAACCTGTTACATCTTGTCTTCCTGCTTTTGCTGCATTATCTACTTGACGTTGTAGATTATATACGTCATTTTGTAAAGATTCGATTTTTGTCGCATCATTTGATTCTGACGTACATTCTTGTAATTTATCAAGACGCTTTCCAAGACTAGCGATGTTATTTTGTAAATTAATTATTTCTTGATTATCAGGATTTGATTGAAACTGTTGAAAATTGTTTGATGGTAGCATTATGTATCTAAAATTAAACAATAAGTAATGAATAATTAGTAAAATTTAACTCTTTAACCCTTTGGCTCCTGGCTTTTTTTTGAGAGAAAGAAGGTTTTGAAAACTAATGTTTATCAAAGATGGAATGTGCACGAATACAACGATCAATAAAAAGAAAAGAGAAGAATATATCTATATCGATTTGTATGAGTCACAGAAATCATGGGAAGAATGACAGAAGAGAATTAGATAAAGAATCCAATAAATATAAAATATATACATTCGATTTGTTTTTATCCAGTAGAATGCAGGAGTTATGTACTAGAGGTTGAACTAGGATTAAATATCATGCATAGATACTATTGTCCATAAATAAAAATTATAACAACTAAATTTTATTCAACTTTATTATTTATAGTCTAGTTAACGAATAAATCAATTCAGCTAATCGAAAATAAAATGACTGATTTGTATTTCGGAAAATGATCATTGTATATAGGTAAATAAACCAGGAAGATCCAAAAAGATACTTGGAAATAACTATGTGTTACAGTGTAACTTGTAGAAGATGATAGTTTCGGGAGCTTAATAACAGTTCGTTTATTTAACAATAAAACGCGACTATTTATAGCACAAGAAATGGTTACTTTGGACTATTCTCATTTCTTGTAATACAATATAATCTAGGTAAATACTTAAGTGATGTCCTTTCATTCATCATTTGGAAATTCCAATATAAGTAATAATAACAAAAGGAATAAAGAATAAAGAAAAAGAAGGGAGAACAATGTGATCACTAACGTATATATATATATATATATGTGTATATCATACATTTCATTTACACAGTTTAATAGAAGAGAAAAAAAGAAAACAAAAAGATATACAAGTAAGTCACACTATAACATGAATCGCTTTTAATATATAAAACACGTAATTTCTTTTAAAAAAAAAAAAACTTCAAAGAAAAAGAAGTATTTAGTAGATGAGAGGATTTAAAAAAATTACTTCCTAAGAAGTTGATATCGATTAATTGACCTTTTGACTGAACAATAGTCATCTTTTACTCATATGGACAAACATGTCCATGGATAGTATTAGAAAGAGGGTGTGGGTGTGGACGTGCGTATGATATTTATATCATATTCAGACGCACATCCACACCCACATCCCACACTCACATCCAAATAATACAAACTTAATGTAATATATCTAGATTGTAACAACTATGCATCAAACCAGTGTGTCACAAAGTACAAAAAACAATGCATCTATTGCCTCAAGTTTTCAACAAAATTTATTATTCGAATTAATTCAAGCAGATGTCTGGAGTAATTTACTTGAAAAGCCCATTTTACGAGAGCCAAAATCGATTTGGATTACTCAATTAACCAACTCGAATAGTTATCAATTGGCATTACGCTGTGAAGATGGGCTGCGAATTTTTCAATATTCACAAGAGTTCTCTACTTGGCAACAAATAGCATATTCGGAAGATTTTTGTGATAAAAATGGATTCAATAAAGCCTGTTATCCTTTGCAATTTTGGAACATGCCGCAATTAAGTAAAGAAATCTTAATTTGTAGACTTCAATCTGGTTTTTATTTTGCTGATTATGATTCTTCAACACAAACGTTACGAGGATTGGCTCAAGATTTCCTTTTTCCAGATTCTAGTCGTTGGTATGACGAATGCAATCAATTTCAGTGGGGTTTTTTTTATGGATCAGAAATGCCTCTTGGATTATTTACTCGACATATTGAACATGGTATTCGTTTCTATATATTAGCTCCAAACGGTTTTAAGAAAGAAGAGCGACCTATATTGGAAGATCTCAGTACAAACAAACACATACCATCAATATGGCGAGCTAAAGATGATCATTTTGAATTTGCTGATATTACCGGAACTGGTACAACAAATATTATTTGTCAAAATGATAAAGGACTTTCTATTTATGGTTTTGAAGTGACGAACCAAGGCTTTATTCTTAAAGAATTAATCAAAACTAATCTATGCAATAAGGATTCAGGATGGCGACCAGGACAAGACAAACTATGGTTTGTTCGTTTAACAAAAAGTCATTTTTCTAATTTAGTATTGTTGCAATCTAATGGTTTAAGAGTTTATCAATACATTGAAGAAAAAAAATGCTTTGATTGTTTAAATCATGATACTTCTATGGGTGAACAATTTGGTTGGAATAAGGAACATACTGATTCTTTATTATTTACTGATATTAGCGGTAATGGTTTTATGCAAATGATCTATGCAGGACCTCAAGGTTTAACAATATGTTCTTTTAATTCTGATACTCATAAATGGGAAAGTAATTTGAATCAGAGTAAATTAAATTTAGAAAACAAATATGCCATTCCATTCATATTTATTCCTGCGAAAAGAAGTCCAACTCATACATCTATATTAATTACAAAGTATAATGGTAAATTAAATTGTTTGAAAATTGAAAAGAAAATTGTTCAGCCAAATGCAGCAAAACATTTATCGAAATTAAATCTAAAATTATCTTCTGACAATCAAGAAATAAAACTTATAAAATCAAGACTTATTCCATCACAAGGTGAATTTATAGCTCAACTGAAATCTGTTGCATTTTTACGAGATACTCTTGATATTAAACCATTATTATCTGCTGTTAATACATATACTGGCAAATTGGATTTTACATTGCCTCTTCTAAGTTTAACTACAGGATCAAATGGTTTACAAATGCGATTAACATTACGATATGAAGGTATTAATCAACATGTTTCTGTTTTAGGAGTTGGATGGAATCTTGTTGAAGATTATATTGGAGTAGCTTATCAAGGAAATGTTGATCCTTTAATACATCGTTATTATTGGATAACAAGTCATGGTAGTATGCCATTATTACGTCAAAGTTCACAAACTGCTCATATCCAAAGTTTCCGGTTGGCTACTAGTTATGATTTATTTTTAATTAAAAGTTTAAACATCGATAACTTGCCTAATATACAAGAAAATGCAGTTATTTTAGTTGGACCAATAGAAGATAATGATTATTATGCATATGTTATACAAAATAATCAATGGCGAAGAAATAATAAAGAGAATTATTTATATAACACTTTAATCAAGAATATTGATGTTAACAATTTAGTACCAGTAGAACAAAATGGACTAATTAAAATTACTGATGAAAATTTGAAAATTATTGTAAAAATCATACAAAATGCTACATCAAATGAAAATTACTTTGATATGAATATAATCTATTATTTGGATAAACAATATTGGGAAATGAAAACATCAGACGGGGAAAAACGAATCTATGGTAATGTTACTACGGATGATGCTATAGCGTGGACAGTTGGTTGGGAAAATTGGTTAGGAATAGGAAACGATACGAAAAATCAAAAACGATATCCTGTCCGATGGCATTTAAAAGCAATTCAAGGATACCAAAATGATAAAATAACTTACAACTATAAAAATATTCAACGTAAAGTAGGTAATCAATCATTCACACAATCAATATATCTTGAATCAATTTCGGATAATTATAATAATAATAATATTCAATTAATTTATGAAGAAAAATCTCGTGAAGAATATGAAGAACCTATTTTAAATGATACATATGGAAATATACTACTATCACCAACATTTCGTCATTACTTAAAAACTATTAAAATAATTACATGTGTAAATATTCAAACAATTGAATTTAAATATCAACTACAAAATAAAATTCGACAATTAATCGCATTATTACAACTTGAAGATATATATCAAGAACCTGTATTAAAATTTTCTTATAAAGATGTTAACGAATCTACACAACTAGAAGAAATATGTTTACCTAATGGAGAAAAACTCAATTTCATTTATCAATCAAATACACTTGAACATATAGGACGTCCTTTCGATTCCTATTCTGGACAATATAATGTCAATGAACAACCTCAAATTACAACTGGATCAGATTATTTAATATTAACTGAAATCGACAAAAGAACTTTACATTTCAAAATCTTCCAAACTAATCAAGCTCCTCTTATGAATTTACTCGGAATTTTAGAAGTATGTTTATATCGTACTATTGCTCGTCAAGATTATTTTGGATTTATTATAAAAACTTATGAAAATACATTTGCATTATTTTTATATCATCGTGATTCATCTTGTACATGGTTACTTGAACCTAAACAATATTTAATATCAGATTTCACAGTACATTCTATTGATAATGTTTTAATTATTGTCAATCCACAACAACAGATAATTATTATTAATTGGAATAATGAAAAACAATTATGGGAAGAAAAATATTTATCAAGACCCTTAAATGTTTCACAAAATTCAGAAATTTTTCTTACCACAAATCAACAATCTCTTATAATTATTTATGATGATCAACATTTATGGATCGGATATAAAGATTTAAATAAAAATTGGCAAACGAAATTACTTCATTCTATTCCAAATTATTTATTAAAAAGTAAACAAACACTTGAAAAATTTGTAACTACTTCAACATTATACGAAAATATACTTTCATGTTTAAAATCACAAATATTACAATGTCATAATAATATTATTTGTTTGTATTCATGGCAAGAAGATAATAATAAATTAAAATCATTAATAAGTATTTTTATGTTAGATTCAAATTATAACATTCAATTAGATAAAATTTATACAATATCACAAGAAGAATCTATACTAGAAATTTTTTCGGAATTTCAAGAACAAGAATTTATGAAAAATGATAAAATTAAATTTCGATTAATGTATCAAAAATATAATGAAAAATTTCGAGTTGTTTTCGAACCTCGAGAAATAACTAAAGATATAGATGAACAACAAGGTAAACATCGCCGTGTCTATCAATTAAATAATCAACAAATTACAGTTACCACTCAAGGTATAAAAGGATGTGTACTTTATAATACTAAAACAGGAAAATGGTTTACAGAAGAAGCTGAAAATTTACGAAGTGATGATCATTCTTTAGCTGAATATTTTAATGAAATATTATTAATTGATATAAATAAATATCTTCCACGTCTCATTGTGAATCAAATTATATGTGGAAATAAAAAACTGATATTCGATGGATATCAATTTCGAGAAAAATTGATTGATAAAAATATTATTCAAGGAAATGAATTTAGCTTTTATCTTGGGAATGATTATGTTTTACAAAGAATAAATAAAGATGATTCGTTTAAATTGTATCGACAGGATGCGAAAAGAGAATCCACTGGTGATTGTTTATATGATTTCAGTGTAAATTCTATCGAAAATATTTCCAATTGTTATCCAAATTATATTGCTTATAAACAAAATGATAATCGTATTTTCATTTTACCATTTCAAAGGAAGAAATTAGGCATTGCCTATTATTTAACAAATGGTAATTTAACACTATGGAGTCATTCACAGTTATTAGTTATCTTTCAATCGAATTCTCAAGAAAATAAAAGTGGTAAATTGATGATCTATTCAAATCCTGGTCGTTCGGAACCCTATCAAGATCCAATCATCGTTAAAACGAGTTTAGAGATTGATACTATGCAACGAAATACTGGCTATTTTTATCACGATCAGTTAGCAATTCTTATCAATGAAACAGTTATTTATCAAAAAGTAGAAATAATTCCTGGTAATGATAAATCTCTGCATGGTTGGATTGAAATCAATTATGATTCACAAAATAGTCAACGAAAATTTTTTAATTCAAAAGGACAAGAAATTTCAGCTTCTTTAGAAAGTTCAAATTCAAAAAATAATTCTGAATCTGAATCATTACCAAATCCAAAAACAACTTTATTTTTAAATAAAACAAATTTAGAAATTGCTCAATTTCATAATGCAAATATTCATGATGATGAAGGTGCATATATCGGTTTTGAATCATATGAAATAGATAATGTATTTGGATGGAATTATAAACAACAAAATTTAATAAAAAATGATTGGTCATTAACAGGAGAATATTATTTACGATTAAATAATAAAAATGATTTTATACATAGAACATTTAATCCAAAAAATCAATTACGTTCTTATCAAGCAGCGTGTTGGATACGAGGTATAGATATAAATTCTTCCTCAATTGATGATTTTAAAGCAATTATAAAAACTAACAACGAAGATATTATTGGAGTTTTACCAGCTAATTTATTAATTTGTCGAGGTGAATGGTGCTATTTCGAAATTAATATTGATTTACCAGAAATTAAAAATAATGGAGCTTTAACACCTATATATTCAAATAATATGAATAGTAAACTTTATTTCTTTCAAGAAGATATAATTAAAATTGAAAACCAACAAAATTTTATCGTTAATATATTAGGTATTGCAACAAATACAATAATCGAACAACTACTTGCTAAGATACATAATATAAATATACGTTCACTAATAAGTTCGGATATTAAAATTGCGTTTTTACAGAATAATTTATCCGATACAATGAAGAATAAATCTGATTATAAAAATATTCGAAAGAAATATGAACAGCAACAAGAAAAAATTAATCAATGTATTCATCAAATAAATAAAAATATTAATTTAAAAGATAATCAACAATTAGATTACAAAAATCTTCTTGAATGTATTAAACAACAACCAAATTACAATATTTATTATCAACAACTTGATGAATTAAAAATAATTTCAAATGAAATTGAATTAGAATTAGAAAATTATTCAAAATTAGAAGATACAATTAAAGATTTTATTAATACATATGATTATTTTAATAATTATCCCATAAATATCATTGATAATCAAATAATAATCTCATCAATTTTGAATGCAATAAATCAATTAAATAATATTTGTTTCTATATTTGGAAGACAAATTCAAATAATGAATTAATTTTATTGCATACGAATCAAGACAAGATAAAAAATCCAAAACAAACTATATATTTATTATATAAAGGAAAATCTGAACAATTTCAAAAACTTATTGATGTTACTAATAAATGTTTATCAATAGAAAAACGTCAATCTTTAAAACAAGGACATGATTATTTACTAATTGATTTAATTATTCAACCAACGAATGATTATAGTTTAGATATTGATCATATACGTTTTACTCCTCGTGATCAACAATTTTATGCACATGTTTTTAATCCATTAACATATCAAATTAGTTCTCTAATTGATGGAAATGGAAGTATTAAATATATGTTTTATAATCATCAATATGAACCTTTTGTAGTTACAGATTGGAATAAATATTTAAATGAATTATATATTCATAGTAGAGAAGGTACTATCTTACCATATGGAAGTAAACTTGCACGTAAACAACCACAAAGTCAAATCAAAATAAAACCATTACATGGATTTTATGAAGATTTTTCTACAACTTCATTTAAAGAAAGATGGTTAATTGATACAAATACTAATTGGAAACGAATACCTGGATATCTTAGTCATATAACAAATACAAATGATGGTTTAATATTAGAAAATGAATGGTTAGATGAATATTCAGCTGGATTACATGTATATTTAGATTTACAATCGAGTGCTAAAATCGAAATTAAACTTCATAAACATTTAATTATCATAGAATGTTTTAATACAAATCAAACAAATTTAATTGTTAACAATGAAAACATTAGTTCAATACTACCATCAAATGCTGAATATTTAATAATTAGTGAAGAAAATCGTTTATGGTTATGGATCAATAGTCAATTACACATCGACAAAGCATTTAATATTCATTCTAATAATTCAAATCATTTATCATTAAATTTAACAGGAAATATTTCTCTTAGTCAACTTTTTATATTTAATAAGCCCGCTATTGATATAGTCTATAAAAATATCTTAGATGAACAATTACAAACTATTCAATTCGAAAATTCTCAATCAATTATTATTTCTCAAATATTATATGATAATTTAGGTCGACAAACAATAGTTACTAAACCAACACAAATTATTGTTGATAATGATAAACCTCTATTAGCATATCAAAATGATTTTATTCAAAATGAAGATACAGTTTGTCAAACTGGTAAATTAATTGGTACAGTTAATAAATTCAATCCAAAAGATGATGGTTATTGTTATTCAGAAATTAAATATGCAGATAACCCATTAAATGAAAAAATTGCTACTGGACAACCAGGACGTTTATTTGCAGTAAATAATATTGGTTGTTTAAAATATAGTCGTGATGCTCAATCAAATTTCATTAACTTATTATTTCCAAGTAAAAATGGTTATTCTGTACAAGTTACTATTGAAACACATGGAACAAAACAAATTATTGTATTCGATTCACGTAGAAATCAAGTAGCGTTGTATGTATATACTAATATGGGAAATAATTTATTAACTACATATGAATATAATGATGAAAATCAAGTTGTTAAAGTATTACCACCTGCTTATCATGCACATCGAAATATTAATACTTTAAATCAAGTAATAGCATATACTCAATTAATTAATCAATGGAAAAATAATGAACAACAGCGAAATATTCAAGATAAATTTTCTACTAGAATGATTTATGATAAAAATGGACAAATTATTGAAAGAATTTCACCGGATACTAAAAAACAAATTTTAATTTATAATCGTGAAAATCTATTAAGATTTATTTTACAGCATGATATTAATAATAAACCATATCGAGTTATCTATTATCAATATGATAAATTTGGTGATCTGTCGAGTCAAGGTTATAGTACAGAATGCTTAAATTATGAAGATCTACAAAATCTTGCTAATAATTATAGTGAATTACCACAAGCAATACCATATTTACAAATGATCAAGAACAATGGTTCGGTAAAGGCAAATTTAAGAAGTAAATCAGTAACATCAGTTATAAATCAATCGGAAGGTATATGGAGAGAGTCTTCAGCTTATTTACATGAAGGAAAATTATCTAATAAAGAGATAATGTTAGTTAGTGATAATTTATGGCAAATTTATCGCACTGATTATACTTACTATGGAGCAAATGTTTCCACTATAACCTATCCAATGTTATTTAAAAATCAACCATTAATTATTTCATATTCGTACAATAAACAAAATCGCACAGTTGCAATAGGTACTCCAAATAATTTAGAGCAATGGACAAAATTTACTTATACTGCACATGGACAAATATCTAATGAAATACATATTTCAAATAACTTTACTACATATTATGATTATAATTCTCCTGGATATTTAGAAAATATTCGAAATAAATATATCAATGAAACTATATATTATACACAAGGAAGTTATGGTCAAGGTGGTTATTTCGATGGTACTATTGCAAGAACACAATTTAAAACACAATGGTTTAGTTATTGTGATACTAGACTTTTATCTTTAACTGCACAAAATTTTCAACAACGTCTTGAAGCCATTGGACAAAATATAACTCTAGGAAAAGCTGAATATTATTTGCAAACTTTGCAAAATACTGGTTTTCTTGATAAAAATCGACGTGTTATCAAAACATTTTTACCTCGAGAAGCTGCTTTATATTTACCTCGTGAATGTGGCGGAACTTTTGCTTATGCATTAGCAGAAACTTTAAATGAATATTTTGTACAAGATTATGGTCATCAGTATAGTTATGGTAATCACATGGAACTTATAAAAGCAAAATATTTTATAGGTGATATGAATTTGAAACCTATTCAACCGTTAAGTTTTGAAGAAAAATCTTATAAAATAAATTCACAACAATCAAAATCAATATGGAAAATATTAGTTGATGAAATTTATATTTGGCCGGATAATGATGATGGAATACATTTACAAGGAAAAGTTAATACAAATAAATGGATTGATTATGAAACATTGAAAAAGAATTTAGGAAAATTTTCCGATTATGATCATGTACTTGCTACAATATTACAAAAGTATATTTCACAACGAGAAGTTTTAACATTTGGAAAACTCCAAAAAATCTTTTTAACTTGGTTAACAGTTGATTTAGATACGCAAAAAGAAACAATTGATATTTACCTTGAAACAGCTAAACAGATTTGGACAATTCTCTCTAATCAAGGATATCTATATTCACTAAATAGTTTATGCACCTTATTTACAAATCATTTCTATCAAATACTTAAAGATTATCGCATGTTTATACCTGAAATCATAGGTGTACTTCAAGAAAATTCTTCGTGGCAAACAGGTGAATCTGCTTGTGATGTTGAAGCTTATATGATTGATGAAAATGGAAATCATCGCCACTATTGGACAGGTTATTCACGTTATGTATTACATTACAAAGAAAACAACAATCAAATTGAAAATATTGATTACAAATCGATGTCAAGAGATAAACCAGCAACAAGTTTTAAAATTACACATGATGATCTAGGTAATATAACGAAAGCAGAACATAAAGGAATTACAGAAATTATCTACCATCCAACATCAAATCGACCTATAATTATTAAATTACAAGATGGTCGTCAAGTTTCGTACGATTATGATGTTCAAGGTGAACGAGTTCGAAAACATATAGTTAATAGTAAAGGTGAAAAACTTAAAGAAATTTTGTATTTACGCGACGAAGAAGGACGTTCTTTAGTAGAAAAAGAAATGAATTTTACAAATGCTGGACATCATGAACAATGCACAGGTTATATTTATGGTCCTAAAGGTCTGATTGGTTTCATTAGAAATGATGAATTTTATAGTGTTATTTGTGATCATGAAGGATCTGTTCGATTAATTATTAAAAATGAAGAAGTAGTAGCTGCTTATGATTATCTTCCTTATGGTAATTTGATACGAGAATATGGTATTCCTCAAGTGCAAATTTCTTATCGATATACTGGTCAAGAATGGGATGAAGAAACAGGTCTATATAATTATCATGCACGATTATATGATCCAGATATTGGTCGTTTCTATCAAATTGATCCTCAAGGACAATATGCTAGTCTATATAAATATGCTGGAAATTCGCCAGTATCAATGGTTGATCCAGATGGTGAATTAGCCTTTATACCGCTGTTAATGCTTGGCTTCGCAGTAGTTGGTGGTCATTTAGGAGGTGCATCAGTAAACAATAGTTGGGATATTCGTGAATGGGATCTGGCGAATCCAGGCACTTATCTTGGAATCGTTGGTGGTGCGCTGACTGGTGCATTGGCACCTGTTGGATTAACAATTTCAGTAGCCGCCATTGCAAATTTCGGACTCAGTGTTGCTACCGCTGCTGCTGCTACAAGTGCACTTGGTGTGGGTGGTATGTACCTAGGAATGGCAAGTGCAAGTCAAACTTGGAATCCATTGCAATGGCAATGGAGTCGACCGATGATATGGAGTAGTGGCTTTCAAGGATTTACTTTTGGTGCTAGTATCGTCGGTGGTGTTGGCAACTGGTATCAGTATTATAGGTATCTAGGAACTGCTGGTAAATGCGCATTTGCTATAGGTTGTGTAGCATCTTCAACAGGTATGACATATTTTAGTATGGCATCAGCGACTAATAGTTGGTCACCAAGAGAATGGAAACTAACATCGCCAACGACAGTCTTTGCTGGATTGGGCGGTGCTTTTGGTGGATTAATGGCACCTTTAGGACTCTTATACACAGGAAAATCTATCACGTATCTTCAAACTATTAGCAGCCGAATCTTCATAGGATGTGGAACTCTTATACCTGGTGGAACTTGCTCTTATCTATTTGCTAGTGCAGCGAATGATAGTTTTACTAATTGGGATATGTCGTCTCCTAAAACTTATGAATCAATCATCGGTGGATTTTTGTTCGGTATTAGTTTACCTGGATTACCAAAAGCACTCAGTGATGGTATGAAGAAAACTTCAAAAGCTTGGAAACGTCATGAATATTATCAAAAAGAACACTATAAAATTGATCAGCAATTAGCAAATGAAATTGTTGATAAAGTTAATGCTTTCTTTGGTGAAGGAAATAAAAAGCTAAGTGAAAATGGTGTTATTAGTATTGCAACAATGGAAGATGGTACAAAGCTTTTTGCTTATTCTGGTACGGAAAAGTATCTAATTGTTGATGGTATAATTGACAATAATGGTGCTAAAATTATTCGTGTTAGGGAAGTTTTACCAAACGTTGGAGGCGGCAAAGTTGTGACATTTGAACATATAACAAAAAAATTAGGTATAAGCAAACAATATGTATTGAGAAAATCAGGAATGCCAAATGAACAAGGTCGTAACTTACCTCGTGCGCCTGAAATTTGTGCAGAACCACGAACTATGGAATTAGCATTTAAACTTGGTTATGCGAATAATGATATTGCGTCATTTAGCGCATTTAGAAAAGAAGCAACTGGCGTTGTTCCTGTGAATGCTTGTCGTAATTGTCAAGTATACGTTCCTGGAAAAGTCTATACAGAAGTTATTTTTGGTAAAGCTTTTCAAAATCCATTTGATTATATGATATACACAGCACAAATATCCATTCAACAACTTCAAAAAAAATATTAGAAAGGATGCGAAGAAAAAGAAAAATTAAAACAGAAATAAAGCAATTATTCATATGAACTACTTCATAATTTTTATTGGTTCTTTCATTCCTTTTTTTCGGTCCGTAGTTGTTTAGATAAATAGTATCTACTTCATTTTCCTACATTGCTTTTCATTATGCTAAAATTGATAATAGAAATATAACAATGATGACCACCGCGTGCAATCCTTAGTCATTTCAAGATTGAGGGTAAGGGTGAATTAAAAAGCACGCCGTGATTACGATTTCGGGTGTGGTGTGGGTGTCAAGTAAGCGTGAGACGAGTGTTATTTTTTTATCTAAACCCTCATTTACACTCATACCATCAAGCTGGATACAATTTTTTGCACCCATACGGGACTCTAACGTCGACTGATATCAGCCACGTCAACCAGGGTTGGAGCATTGAAACTCGTCTTTAATATATTGACTTTTATTGTGTAAACAGATCCGTTTCCATCTTTGCTTAGATCAAAAATACGACGCTTACCTACTTAGACCTTAATCATCTTCGACGCATTGAAACTTGAGCTAATATAATCTATACCTAGAGTCATGTCCAAAATGGGTGTGACGATTTCAGATCCAGTATAGAGCTGTATAAGATTTGATATATATCTATACGCTTATTCTTCAAAAGAAATCGCCTGTCTTACTGAATATTCCTCGTCCCTTGTATAGTACTAGGAATATTCAATATTCTTTTACAAAACAATGCCACATCATAAGAAAGCAATCACCTGATACGAAGGTATCACCTCATAGGAATATAATCACATAATATGAAAGTGTCATATCCCAAGCGTGTCTGTGGGTGTGAGTAAGTGATGATGAGTGTGCACATGGACTTGAACGTGGGCATCAGCGTTGTCCTTATTCGCACCCACACCCACGCCAATATCATTCAACTATTATTATGATGAGTAATAAAAATAGCTTTTATATTTCATTATCTACAGAGAAATGTCTTTCAAAAACTCACGAAATCTATTACTGAACATGATATTAGTTTTGTTCGTTTTCATATCAAACTAGTCATAGCCTTGATTATTGGGATCACCTCGATTTGCAACATTCATTAAAATAAGAAATCATACCCGCTTAGTCATGATACATAGAGAAGAGAAGAAAATTGATTTTAGATTAAGTAATTTAAATATTAGAAGTGGATCGTGAATTTTCAATAAAATTTCAGCTGAACTCATCAGTTATATACTTTTGTGCCACATATCATCACTAACGCTCACACACTTCTCAATAAAGATTCAAGTAACTCATGAATGAAGTCCTATTTTTATAAAATATACGACATTTATTTAATATCACATGTAACAACTCTTAGAACACAAGAAAATATATGCTTTATTATGATAAAATATATTGAATACAATGCACAAAGAAGAAGAAGAGATATACAAAAAATAATAATAATAGTATTAATAAATGAGATTAAAAGAATAATATGAGTAAATAATTTGTTTCGTTTCAGAACAAAAAATGATCACCATTTAATTAGCACAATTAGAAAATCACAACAATGCTCAAATCAAATCTTCCATTAACACAATCCAACTTTTATTCTCTGTAACTTGCTCGTGGTGCACTTGCAGCACGTCTTGATGATTGTTGTCGACTATGCATTTGACGGCTACTTGGCTATTTAAAAAAATAAAACTAAAAAAATAAAATATTAATTATTTATATACTTTGGAGTCATTCCAATCAAGTTCATATTTAGATATATTATCTAGATATGATAAATTTCTTGACCAACTTGTTGACCAATCATTTTGATTAAATTCAGGTTTACGATCTACAATTCTTTTAAGCATAGTTGAATTTTCTCTTGATACACGTAATAATTCTCGACGACGTTTTTCTTGATTGAGACTAAACAATAATAACTTAATATTAAAATATATAAACGTCAATTCATTTCGTACCTATGTCCAACATAATTATTGCGATTATCAAGACTACTATTTGTACGCATAATAGTAGACATTTTTTCTAATAATATACGATTATCACGTTCAATTGTTGCTGTACGTTCTTCTGCTAACTAAATAATCAAAATAGAAGAAGTAGTAGAAGGAAAAAACAATAAAAAATATACCTGAAGTTTTTTCAATTTCATATGAAGATGCAAGTATGTTCGTGGTGGACGTGTATCAATACTTGGTCGAGCATCACGTACCTGTAATAGATAATGAGAATTTCAATAATACAAATCTGTTTATGTGTAATTACCAAAATTCGATGTTCTGAAAAATATTTATCATCCCATTTCTTTTGAAGAAGTCGATTAGCAGCTGGAAGTGTTGGTTGATAAGATTTATGCATTGATATATTAAGGCCTTTAATATCTAAAACTATATTCATATGAAAAGAATAATACAAATGATCTAATCAGACAAAACAAACATTTAGCATTTTTTTTTCGTTTTTTACAATTCAATAGAAGAGAAAAAAAAGAGTTTATCCTGAAGGTGATGCAAAATCATTTGCAGGTAGAGCTTCTTCAAATTGTCGATAATGAAAACGACTTGATTGTGCTGTAACCATAATACGTACAGCATAGATGCCAAAGATTGCTTCTAATAAAAGAAACGTTACATAGATAATTTCAACAGCAAATACAAGTGCCAATTGCATTTCTTTATCAGCATTTGTAATGACAGAATAAACAAGTAGAAATATACTTAATGGTATTTGAAAAATAATTGTTAATAAACAAAATGCTGTTAATTCAGGCATTCGTTCAGCTAAATTTCCTGCATAGCCAAGATATAATCTTATAAATTCAATAATAGCTTTAAATAGAAAAGCAAATACCATTAAAATAGCAGGATAATTCTTGGCACTAGTTGCTAATATAGGTAAAACAAATGTTAATGAAAAAAGCCAACATGGAAAAAAACAAACATTAAAATATAATAACATTTGTAATGGTAAACTAGATGAATAATCAATTTCAATACGTGTTGGTTTAGATTGAAAATTATTTCCTCGTTTATAATCATTGGCATCAATTGATGTAAAAACTGATGTTGCTAATCGATTGAGACGATCATTAACTGATCGTGGTAATTCAGGTGCTCGTCGTAGCATTTTTTGTCAATAATCTATGAAAAAATCAAAGAAATGATATGTCCATCATGCACATTGTTGTTTTGACAACAGATCAAGTTATAGGAAGATAATTTTTGACGATAGATGTCTCCAGTTTTCATCTACATTTTTGTTTCAAAAGTAATGTGAATTATATTGAATGAAGCCTATATTATGGTAATAAGCATATGACGAAACTTTTCAAAGATTCGCTAATCAAGTATACTTGTGATTTAAATCCAAAAAGAAATAATACTAATTCAAATCCTGTAGAAATCAAAAATTATTTTTTTCCTATGTTTTTATACAAATATCAGCATAAGTAGTCTGCACTATATTTAAGACTTTTAATGTAGGGAGGGCTAGCCCATCCACTCCCACTTTTTCAGGATATCTGTTGGTTTAGTATATTTAACAGAAGCAAGCATAGCCATTTTCATCGGCATTTATTGTTGTTCCTCTATATCCTACAGATGCTACATTCATTTTCTAATACGACCACTTTTTTCTTAAATATTCGTTAATTTCATTTCACAAAAAATATTTTATTTTCAATATCAGTATCATAGTTATAGAGAACAATAATATGAAAACATATTAATTATATCATTTTGTCATAAGTAGAAAAAAAAGAATTGTATCTGACTAATATACTTTTTTTTTCTTTTTACGAGTTTTATTTTTATTTTTATTGGAATGTAATTCAGATGGTGGTGCATTTTCATTATTTTTATCCGTATAAGTAACATATGTAGTATTGGTATTCATCGTAGGTTTAGAAGTTGTTATTGTTCGTCTATGAAAAAATAAAAGACATTTCATTGAAATCAGTTTTTTCTCTACGAACTTGAGAATTATTTCTTCTAATTGTTTCCAATAGTCTTTTTCTTGTTGAACCATATTTTTTATTCGTAAATTATAATCATCAATTTCATTTTGTAAGTTTTTCAACCGCTAGTAAAAAAGAAATGTGAAATTATTTCATTAAAATAATATTTTTATTTTCCCTTACCATCTGTAAACCCTTAGCTAATGAATTTGATTGATTATAATTTTTCAATAGTTGTCTATCATTCTCAGCATATTTCAATTGTCGACATGATCGTATTTGAACTTAAACGAAAGAAAATATATTATAAAATTTGAAATCCATTGATTCTTACTAATTAAAATGCTTTTTTTAATTAAACGTTTTGCTATCTGACAAATTAATTTATTTTTAATAAACAAATCATTATTCCATGTTGTACGAAATTCAATAATATCTTCTATATTCATATCTGAAAACGAAGAACATATCCGTATTTGATTTTTCTATATTGCATAGAAAATATTTTCTTTCTTCAAAAAACAAGAGCACACAAACAAATACAAAAAACAAAACTTCTGGAATTAAGAATAATAGCGATAACAGGCTTATTCAAGAAAAAAAAAGAAAAGGCAAAAACAAACAAACAAGGTACACACAAAAACGAACTGTTTATTTTTTGTAAGACAAGCTAATCACTTTGCAAAAAAAAAGATATAAAGATGCACAGAATAATTGCACAAATTTTGTTTTCATTAATATTGTCGTTTCATTATTTTAGATTTCGAATAAGGACACATTGCAACAAATAATATATATAAAGATAACAGAAAATAGAAGATCCACCGGCCACAGAAAATAAAAACAAATTAAATTACACTGTTGAGTTATTGTCATTACAAATACACTTGGAAGTTAGAAGCATATAAAAAAAAACAAATCAAAGATGAAAATATGAAAAAACCTATGCACAGGGCTGATTGCCCAATTTAAGGAATAAAAAAATTAATCAAAAAAAAAACGATTACAAAGTATAATATATCAAATTGATCATTTTTTATTTCACAGCATTGGCTGTTTCTTCAAACTAAAACAAAAGAAAATAATATATATAACTTATTGTTCTTATTTCAAATTACTTTTTTTTTTACACATACCACAATACATGCAATAAAATATATAGGTATACAACATGCAAGCGGAAACAATAGAATTTTATATTTCTCTTACGTGTAATCTTTGCATGATACTACTATATAATTGTGAATTAAGATCTTTTTCTTGTACACCTTGTAATTCAAAACTTCCACGAGTTTTCTACAAAAAACCAAATTATATTTTCTTTAAAAAAGCAAAAATAATTACTTTAACTATCAGCATTAAACAAGCTAATTGATATGGATGAAGACTAATTTCTGTTCTTTCTCCTAGCCACATAAAAATATATTGTGTTTGTTGTCTATACCATTCCTCAAATATATTCAATGTAAATATTTCATCACTGATTTTTTGTCGTAATTGTTCTAAATTTGTATTTACACATGATACATATGCTTGACCATCTTCATTAATTGGTTTCTATATGATGATAATATATATACTATAGAGGAAATACAAAAAAAGATAGAACTTACTGCTAATGAAAGAATTTGAGCAAAAAATGATCCTTCATCATAACGTGATAATTTTTTTAATACTGAATCAAGTACACTAACTAATTTTTGTATTAATACTTTTGACATATCTTTTAAAATTTTTTCTAAATATTCATCAATACGTGTATGATATTGATGAAGATCACCACTATTTAATGCACATAATTTTAAAGCCTAAACAAAAATAACGAGAGAAAATATATCGATAAAATAAAAATTTATAAATGATTATTTACTTGAACTTTACAATCAAGTATAACATTAACCATAACACAACATTCAGATGGGAGAAGATAATCACAACTAGTACCACCAATTAATCCACCTTTTTTCATCCATGCTTCAAAATGACGCCATACTCTTTTTCCACATGCTTCTATCATATCTGACGCCATTTGTTTAAGTCGTTTTTCTAAATGTTCACCAAATATTTCATCCGGCTAAAAAATATACAAATCTCTTTAGAAGAAAAAAATCATCATCAATATACCCAATGTAAATCACGAATAAAATTTTGTAAAGCATCAAGTTTCCATAGAATATCTTCACTTGTTGCACATCCACGACTAAACAGAAAAGGAATTAAATTTTTATATTTTATTTAAAAACAATCATACGTTTTTAATTTCCAATTTTCTTTCTCAAAACCTTTATGTATGGATTGTGCTATACATGATTCCATTAAATCTACATAACGAACAACTAATGGAGCAAATGTATCACGTAATTGTTGATGAAATCGACCTTGTGATAATGATTCTAATAATAGGAAAACTTTTCTAAAACATCAACAAACAAATGAATTTTTTTACCATGTACACGAAGATAATCATTTAATAATTGAAATAACGGAAATGAATCCCAACTTTCAATTGGTTGTTGATCAATAACATGTTCCATATCAACAACAAATAAAGACCAAAAAATTTCTTCATGTTCAATTAATAAATCATTATATTGTTGAAAAGCTTCTTGATAATGTTCAGCATCTTGTTGTAATAATTCAATACATAATTCTGCTAAATGTATTAAATCATCGATTTTTTTTCTTGGTGAATCATCACTGTTATAAACTGTTTCTAAATATAAAAATTAAATTATTAAAATAAAGATAATCGAGAGACAGAGAGAGAAAATCATAGAGCAACCATTTATTGCATGCGCTTTGTTTATGGATGAACTATGTTAGAATAACAACAATAAATAATATGGTCGCATGACAAAAAAGCTACTAGAATTAAAATAATAATGGAAAACTATTTATTCTCATTTAGCTTTGTTTTTACTAAAAATAACGGGGGGAATTAGAACACATGAAATTTTACCGTTATCTTTTTACCAAATAAATTTCTTTTAAATGATAGAATGAACTTTTTGGTACAACATTAGAGCAACGAATGACAGTAAATACAATAACTGTGTTATTTTTACCTTCAATTTTAGCTTGATCAGATACACGTGTATAATTAATATATGCAGCATTTTCAAGGCATTTACCAATAAAATTTCGTATATCATCACGAGATATTGGTGTAGCCATATCTTTACATGAAACACGTTCTAATAAACTTAATGTTGCTTTTAATGCACCTTCGGGTCGACCAAATGGAAATGCATATCTAAAATTGGTTACTTGATGTTCAAGAAATAATTTTAATCGTTCTTTTATTTCATTAAAACGATCTTTTTCTTCCATAGTTATTGTCGATACATTATTATCAGGTCTTAAAAAGAAAATAATTGAATTTTTGTTTTTTGTGAATAAAAATCTTTATATGAAATTACCGATTTCCTGAGACATGTGAATTACAAAATACATAACTATAATGAATTAATTGTGGATCAATCATAAATCCTTGTTCAGCTCGGTCAAGTAAATCATTCAAATAATATAAATGTCGGACACAACCACGAACACCATATCGAGAACAATATTCTAAATAATAAAAACGGATTAAAAATAATCTTCTAAATCGTTTCTCGAAATTATTTATTTATGATAATTATCAATTTAGATGCGAAAATTAATGAAATTCTAATCTGTAAATCAATTACCTTCAAGTACATAACTTTGTCCAGGACTTAGCCAGCCCTAAAATTAAAATAGAAGAAAAAAAACGTATTAATTTATTCTTATCAAAATTATTAATATATTTACCAAAGAACAATATGGATCTCGTAAACGATAATCAAGTGTTACTGATTGTAATGTTCTAAAAAGATCATGATGATCAAATTTACATGGATCACTTTGAATATATTCATCGAAACCAAGTTTTTTTGATCGATCCGAATCTAAAAGAAGATAAATAACAATAATAAATAAATATTTTCTTATAAATTGATATATAAACATTCTCATGCAAATATAATGATCGTTCAAATATTTGCACATGCTCATGCTTATTCAAAGAAACTCAAAACATCACATTGTTTAGCTGGTATCAATTTGAATAGACTTCGAAAATAATTTGCTCTCTCTACGAGATCATACGACTGTGTACGTGAAACAGGTAACTGTCCTAGATAATATATTATTGTTTTTGTTATTAGAAAGAAATATTTTCAAATTATTTTCTTGAGAAATTCTTACCAGCTGGATCTCTTTGGCCTGATCCAGAAGCACCTTGTGATGATTTATTAGTTATTGTTACTGGCGGTGTTGGTTTATGTGATTGACCAGTAGCACGATATAATGCTTGTACCCAACTATGTCTTTCATTTTCTTCATTTGTTGCAAATGTAACAACATCACCTTCACGTACAGCTTTAAAAAAATATTTTGCATCATTCATAACTAAACCTGTACAATCAATGAAATTAAAGTATTTTTCATAAAAGAATAATTTACCATTATCTGGTTCAGCATAATCAACGGTATAACCTTCAAGTGGCATGGTGTCAGTAGGTTCAGATTTTTTTTCACGATAGCTACATATAGCAAACCAATATTGAGAAACCTGAACCAATGCATAGTATCGACGTTTCCATTTTTCCCAAACATTTTTACCACGAGCATAGCACCAACTACAAAAAACGAATGCTATAATTTTATGTATATATATATCAAATCGATACATACCCACACATTTTAAGATTTTGTGGTTTTTCCATTCGTACATCTAATTTCACTTTTAATTCATCAGTAGATGCACTTTTATCTTTAATCATATCTGTCCACCAATTTGTTTTATTAAATGTTGGATCAATTTGTAATGTTACTTTTCCAAGTTTATTATCATCTAAACTAAGTATACCAGGTTTTTCCATATAAAGTTTTACTTTAACAATTGGTAAAATTTGATTCGTTGGAAATTCTGCAAGAGATTCCCAAATAGGTTTTCCAGCTTCTGCATGTTCAGTACGATATTTTTCACCGCCATCAACTTCCATCGTACAATAAACAATACGATTTGTTGGAACTGATTTTAATCCACGTACTTCTTTTACAGTTATATTCACATTAAAATTTAATACAAATGCTAATTTAGATAGACCTGGTTCATTATCGTCAGCATGATTATTACCATCATTATGAGTAGATTTATTTGATGAATTCAAACCAGATGATGAATTACTACCAGTATTTGCAAGACGTCCATGTGCTGGCCCACGTTTTCTACTTAAGAGTTTTTGTTCTGAACCACCACGTACTGGTAAACTTTCAAGATTACTCATTAAATCATTTATAAGCTTTTTTAATTCATCAACATATAATGTATCCATTTCTTTATGTACAAATTTTGGCATTAAACCCCGTTGCTATAAAAGAAAAACAAGAATTTTAATAATTTTCTTTGTCTAATAAAATGAATTCATGCTGCAAGATTCTTTCTACTTTTTAATTCATGCAAGCAAGGATGTACTTAAAAAAAAACACCTTTTTCATCTTTTGACAAAGATCATTTAATAAATCCTGGAATATTTTGTTATTTTAATAATTATATATATATATATATTTTTGTTGATTAATATATGTTGACTTACTCTTTGTAATGATTCAGCTTGTTTCATTCGACCATCAAGTTCACGACGAATAGTAGCAGCTTGTTCATCATTATTATCAAGCTATAGAAAAATAATAAAAATTTACAAATTTTTAAAATAAATTTTTTATTTCTTACTTGAGCACTATTGAAAATCATCCTAAAAAAAGAAAATAATATTAAAATCTTTTTTTTATAAAAGCTTAGTCGACTAGATATTGATCAAAATCTATATGTTTACAATCAGATTATATTCAAATCCATATAATCTGATTAGAATTCGAGCGTAGGCGTCACTTATGTATTAAGTCGTAAAAGGTCTGTCAGCGACGTCATCAATTTGAGCCTATCATCTAATTGGATCAACTTCATTCATGCGAATAGTGATTAAGGTAAGCTGTTTCTTTCAATGAATTCTTTTTTATTAATACTTACTGATGTTCAAATTTTTTTATACTTAATACATTTTGAAACATATCATATAATTGTTCTTTACTCATAATTAATTCAGCTGATGTTGACATATAATTTGATTTTGATAAACGACGATTAGGATTCTCTTGATCTTGATCTTGACCACGATAAATAGCATCATATTTAGACATCCATAAAGTGAGCACCGTATCTTTGCTTATTTTGAGTGAATCAATATCAGGTAAACTTCGTACACGTTTTTCAATATTTATACGAAATACATCACGAAAATCATCCGAACAACAACCACCGGATTGGACCATTTTACCAATACGTTCACTTTTAAGAAATACTTCATAATATGAACGAACAGCATTTATAAAAGCTAAAAATAATAAAAAAAAGTAACATATAGGTATTGCTTCTTATGATTTATAGTTTACCTTCGTCTGCTTCAATATGAGTTTTACCATTGAGAAATGCTAAAAATCTTTCTTTGATAACACCATATTGAACAAGAGTTACTTTTAAATGTTTTCTTGCCATATCTGACGATTGTTTTGAATTAAATGGACATGCAACACAACGACAAACGAATACATAGACTTGAAGACGTTTACGTTTCAATTCTAATTCACGTTCAACACGTTCATTTTCTTCACGTTCACGTTCACTAAGTACGGATGGTGAGGGTGATGGCATACGATCAATTGGTAGACCAGTAGTACTTGATATTGTTGTACCTATTAATAAAATTCGTTATATGTGTTAAAAGAAATGTAGAATTACCAATACTTGATACTGATGGATGTCCATGCGGTGAACGAAATCTTGTATTTGGTGATGATAACTCTTGATGACGTATTGCATTTGGTTGATGTTGTGTTAAGTATGATGGATGTAGAGGTTCTTCTGAAGATGTTGTTGAATCTGCACTTCTTAAACTATTTGTATCGGTTTTAATAGGTACTATTGATTGACTAGTATCTTGAAAAAAAGTTGTAGTAGTTGATGGATGTACGGATATAGTTGGTGAATCAGTTGTTGAAGTCGTTGGCATCGTTTGAAATATTCGATGTGATGGCATTGGTGAAGTTTTAGATGATGATGGTATATGATCGCCATGATGTGATTTTGTATGTAATGCTGGTGAACTAACAGTAGAATTCGGACAAGTTGGATTTGGTGTTATTGATCGAATCGATAGAGGTAATGGACGAGTTATAGACACCTAATAAAATTATTTAATTTCATTTATTAATATATTGAACTTACCTGTTGTTGAACAATTGGGTCTTTTTCAGTATCGGGGCCGTCGCCATCATCTTCTGAGGAATCATGCAGCATAATTTGTTATCTTCATTATTCTACATTGGATAACCTCGTCAATAAGTGAATAGATAAAAGTAATATAGTCATTGATCTCAAAAGCATCTTATCAATGACATATATTTAAATAAATATATACATATTCATAAATGTATATATATATATATGAAAACTGATTTCTTTTTCTATAAAAACAACAAAGAAAAATAATAAAAGTATGAAACGTTAAACAAAAGAACTATCTATGTCTCGATACAAAAGCTCTTGTTCAATTAAAAGTAGTCATCGTCTATTTCGGTACTTACGAACGTATGCAAGCACGCACACTTCGAAAAAACACACGTCAGTCATCATCGACGCCACTCGATGACGTGAGCACTCGTATGCAAGCTGACTAGGTTACTACCTCTAAACTCTTGCTGGTACGACTAATTGAAATCCTTCTCTCTCTCTCTCTCTTTTCCTTTGATAACCAACCTAGTATATTCTCTACTATCGGCAGTCGTCGTTGACGCTACCGTGTTGCTACTTGTTATTGTTTCTTCGTGAACGCACGAGCGCAAGCGTGCGTCTTACACTCTTCCATTGTCTATCTGGAGAATAATTAAATTAGATGACGCGAAACGATGATGGGACAAATATTGCCAGTAATATGAGAGTAACAAAATCATGTGTACATAAACAAATATATATATCTTTATTTAATAACTATTAAGTTATACGATATCATAATCCAATAGTAATATAAAGCGATTAACTTACCATACAATAGAATGCAATGCAATGATATTTGCTCAATTAAAAGTAATTAAACAATACTCATTGTTTATTTGTTATTTTTTTTTCTGTCATACAGTCTCGTTAGAGTCTTTTTGTCATATCATCTTCATCTTTTTTCTTTCTATCATTTTATGTGGTTGGCACAACATCTTGCATAAGAGAATAAGAAAAACAACATGCACTCGACGTGCTCGTGTGCAAGCATTCAAACGCATAAACTAAGTTTTTTTTCTTTCTTCTTCTTCTTCTTCTACTTCTTCTTGTCGCCTGCAAACGATGGTTTGCTATATAAAAAAGAAAAAGAAAAAGGAAAGACAGAGAGAAAGAGGTAGGAAATTAGTTACTACTATCACATCTATCTAAAGTAAAGAGAACTATGACGATCATTGTGCTAGCGAGTTACCTTCATGACGTTGATTGTGTGTAGTCGATGTTTTATCGTCATGTGTTCACACAGTTTGTCTTATCAGGGATGATCTTAGTGCAACTGTCAACAAAAGCAGATGATCATCTTATCAGTGTATTTGACGATGAAATGAATTATTGTCAGAGAAATTTAACGAAGGGAACATCTTTGATTACAGAGACTTAACGTATCAAGACACACGCACGTACAGAGACACACACACATACATACTCAAGATGATGAACTGAAAGAAGGAAAAAAA